ACCTGGGAGCAAAAAACAAACAAACCAAAAAAGCCTTTCTGCTGTTGTCTTTGTCCCCCTACCAGTTGTAAGCATCTCTTTAGAGGATTTCTTTCAGGAAATGGCACTTTCTCTATGAAAAGAGAGAGAACCTGAAAAGCTGTGTGTGGGTCTCACTTTTCGAGAATCTGTGTGCAGAGGCAGGTGGTTCTTTGAACACCTTCCCAGGGTCCCTGGTCTCCTCTGGGTAACCTCACCCTCCATGTCACAGCCAGGAGGGCCTCTGACTTCATACCACACCCCTCCCGGCCCTGAGACTTTCTCCCAACCACCTTGGGAAGGTCAGGAAAATTGGCATTGCCCTCTGGAGCTGGGGATGTGAGCCTTAGAACTTAGACGGATCTCTTTTCATTAAGCAGTGCCCTGGCTTAACAAGCAGTTTTATAAATCTGAAGCTGTCTCCGGGTGCCGCAGGATTTATGGACGGGGGTTTCTGCCATAAAGTGGTTTATGATGGCTGCCTTCTGTGTTATTAGTAGCTGTCTCTTCCTTCAACCATTGCTGTTTGATAATAGCTTTAAAACACCCAGAATTACTTACCTGCAAGCCCCATTCCCGATAGCCCCTGTTGACAGTCTGAATAAGTTTACTGCCCTTTTGTTGTACTTTACCTTCAAAACAAACTGATTGAACCATCAATAGCTCGTGGAAGCTGACAGAGGCATGTCATCTGGACTAGCCCTGGTGATTGCAGGTTATCTGGGGGAGTTAACCTTCCCGCATTGTTAACTGAAATGTTTTATGTACTATGCAACTTTAGGATACGGCTGTGATAACCCTGGTAACTAAGTAATACATCACAGTAAAGAGATTTTGGTGCAACAAATAACCCTGGATTAAATTTACAAGGGTTGAATTGATATTGTAAAAGCCTTCATTCTGTGGCTTCAGGAATCCTCTCTTGTATTTTTATGGCAAACTTGTATTATACTCAGGATTGAAGCTGCAGCTTTTGACACCCTGACATGACCTAGAATAAAGGGAAATAGATCTCCCAAGACCAGAATGGGACAGGCAGGAAGAAAGCTCACTGACTAAGCATTGGCAGAGCTGGTTTAGAGCTGGTTCCGAACCACCAAGGGGCAAGAAAAAAGGTCTGGTGGATATGGCTTCTGTCTGGGCACTGGGGACCGTAGACATCAGGGGCAGGACAGACCATTAGCTGAACTGGGAAGGATACACTTGGCCTCCTTATCAACTTCATAATTCCAAAACTATTAATCCTTGTGGTGTTTTTGTACTTGGACAGTGATTTGCAGCAGGCCTAGCAGCACATCAGCCTTACCTGGGAACTTATTAGGACGTAAATTTGAAACTTCATTCCAGATGCAGTGAATCAGAAACTCTAGGGAGGGACCCTGTGATTTGTGTTTTAACAAGGCCTCTGGGGGATTCTGTCACCTCCTCAAGTTTGGGACCCACTGAGCTAGAATGTAAGTTCATTGAAAGTCGGGACCATGTCTGTTTTGTGCATCACCTATTGTTAGCACCCAGCTCAGTTCCTGGCAGGTCGTGGTTTCTAAGTATTTGTTGGGTGGGTGAATGTGTAAATAATTGAAAGAAGACCTCTCCTAAAGGACATACTCTGAGCCCTGAGCTGAGTCTCATACTGAACTATTTGGAACGAGCCTTCCTAGTGTCTCTCAGATATCTTTAGGCATCAACCACCTGGAAATCCAGGCTGACCAGCTGGGTGGGAGTCAGGTCACCCCTAGTTTCAGGGTAGCTGGCAGCCTATTTCATGGATGTTTCTTTGGTGTTGAAAGAAGAGTGCTCTGAAAACAGTAGCTCTTTGTCATCTAAAAATTTTTAACTAGCTTAAAAGCTAGCGCTTCTCTCTCTCTCCTTTGATTTCAGGGCTGTGATCCAAAGTAGGGCGAAATGACAACATGCTGTCTGTTGTCACCATGGTTCCTGCCAGCCCCGTGAAGACATCTTTCATTCCATCATTAAACATTGGCTGATTTTCTAATACTGACTTTTCTTCACCTGAATATTCATCTTTTCCCACCCTACACTTAGTGGGTGTCTTTACTCCTTTGAGCGTCACTCCTGACATATTGTTTCTGTCTGTACGTGTCTTTATTTGAAAGAATCTGTTGTCATCAAGACTTTGCTGCTACAAGCAGAAGATGGAAGTTTTCTCTGACACTGACTGAGGCCAGTGGGAGTTCTTCTGGAGGATAGGAAGGTACTGGGGCCTTTGTAGAACTTGTCTAATTTCGAGTAAGCTTAGGTGGCATTCGGAGAGAGAGAGAAGAGGCTTAGGGAAAAGTGAGAAAGGAGATAATGAGTAGCTTGAGGCCAGGGAGAGAGCAGAAAGTAGGTAGTCAAATTTCTAGGACCTCAGATGTTGGTGTGGAAGTTTCTGAGCAGGAAAAGGACACCACAAAAGAATTTAGAGTATTTTTTTACTTTAAGTCATAGGAAGGCTGTGCCTAGAAACCTCTGAGCTATTTGGCATTTGAGTGATCAGCTGAGTCTCACCTGGACAAGCATATGTGAGGCCCTTTGATGATGTGAGAGCATCCTATGAACTGGGGGTGCTGGCCACGGGGACCTAAGGCTCCACTGAGGAGGGAGGCCTGCTCACATCTCAAGTAACATTTGCACTGAGAAAAAAGCTTAGTGTTTGGGAACTGCTTTAGGGCTTGTTTCTTTGAAGCTTTCTTAAGACTTCTTACTCTTCTTTCTTTGTGTCTGAAAAGCTACTTTGTACGTAACTTCAAACTTGGCACTTAGCTATGTCAATTTCTAATTTATGTCTTTGAACCCATCTTCCCCTTTATATTAGAGCCCTTTAAATTGCCAACATCGGTTGGATCATAGAAAAAGCAGAGAATTCCAGAAAAATATCTAGTTTTGCTTCATTGACTACGCTAAAGCCTTTGACTGTGTGGATCACAACAAACTGTGGAAAATTCTTCAAGAAATGGGAATACCAGACCACCTTACCTGCTCCTGAAAAATCTGTATGCAGGTCAAGAGGCAACAGCTAGAACTGGACATGGAGCAACAGACTGGTTTCAAATAGGAAAAGGAGTACGTCAAGGCTGTATATTGTCACCTTGTTTATTTAACTTATATGCAGAGTACATCATGTGAAATGCTGGGCTGGATGAAGCACAAGCTGGAATCAAGATTGCCGGGGGAGAAATATTAGTAACCTCAGATATGCAGATGATACCACCCTTATGGCAGAAAACGAAGAGGAACTAGAGTCTCCTGATGAAAGTGAAAGAGGAGAATGAAAAGGCTGGCTTAAAGCTCAACATTCATAAAACTAAGATCATGGCATCTGGTCTCATCACTTCATGGCAAATAGATAGGGAAACAATGTAAACAGTGAGAGACTTTATTTGGGGGGGCTCCAAAATCACTGGAGATGCTGGCTGCAGCCATGAAATTAAAATACGCTTACTCCTTGGAAGAAAAGCTATGACCAATGTAGACAGCATATTAAAAAGCAGAGACATTACTTTGCTGACCAAGGTCTGTCTAGTCAAAGCTATGGTTTTTCCAGTAATAATGTATGGATGTGAGAGCTGGACCATAAAGAAAGCTGAGCACTGAAGAAGTGATGCCTTTGAACTGTGCTGTTGGAGCAGACTGTTGAGAGTCCCTGGACTGCAAGGAGATCCAACCAGTCCATCCTAAAGGTAGTAAGTCCTAAATATTCATTGGAAGGATGGATGCTGAAGCTGAAGCTCCAATACTTTGGCCACCTGATACAAAGAACTGGCTCATTTGAAAAGACTCTGATGCTGGGAAAGATTGAGGGCAGGAAGAGAAGGGGCCAGCAGAGGATGAGATGGTTGGATGGCATCACTGACTTGATGGACATGAGTTTGAGTAAGCTCCAGGAGTTGTAATGGACAGGGAAGCCTGGCGTGCTGCCCCCCATGGGGTCACAAAAAGTTGGATGCAATTGAGTGACTGAACTGAACTGAAAGAGCAGGAACCATGTTGTAATCACCTCTGTATACTTAGGCCTGGCATGAAGTAGGTGCTTAAGAAACATTTGTGCAACTGAAATGAACTGGTATTTTACGGTGTCCATTCTAATGCTTCTTTCCAAAATGGTTTGAGAGTGAGAAAGAAAAATTGGTCCCTGTCTTCAAGAAGCTTATAGTTTTGGTGAGGACATTAACTGAAGGACAATTAGAAAATAATATAGTGTTAGACTGTAGGGTGCTAAAAATGCCTCCTTGGAGTATTGAGAAGGGAGAAAGCAGTATGGGCTGGGGATGCAGGAGAAAACTTCTTGAGGGTTGGGATTTGGAAAGATGAGTGAATACTGAGGATGCTGGATACAAGGAGAAAAAGTCAGATTCCCGTGGAGATGATGTGACTACTGCTCTTGATATTGGATATCCACCTTTTCTTCCTAAGCAGGAAAGGGTCTAAACAAATGCTCCTTTGATTGGAGGAGCGTGAGGGCTTGGTGGAAAGCATGTGGGTCGGTGACTGTCCCTGAGGAAGAAGAGCTACAGGCAGGTGTCTCTACTTTTTGTATCATTTTTTATATGTTTACATACCTATCTTCTGACCAGGTGAGTCTTCTTGTCAACTTCATACACCTGCTTAAAGATAGTTCATCACACAAGTAGTCAGTCATTTGGTTATCCTTAAAGATGGTAATGGATCCCAGAGACTCTTTCCAGGGAGACCATATGGCATATTTGGGCTGTTAATGTCCATTAGAAACCAACTCCCCTTGTTTCTCCTTGATGGAGATACTCTTCATAGTGCCAGTGTAGAAGTAACTCAGTGATGATGAGAAAAAGTCCTCAGCATGTATGTCTGATCCCTCAAGGAAACAATTTCTCAGCTATGTATGTTCTTACTTATATCCCAGAATTGTCCAGGTTGTTATTATTGTCCTGATGGCAAATTAAAGTCTCTCATCTCAGCTTCAAAATGAAGATTTTTTTGTTCTCTTGGAGATGAGAATAATACAGATGACCCATAAGAATGACAGTAACATGAATGGTATGATCAGGTTGTAGGTTATTTTCTTTGAGAATTTCTTGTGTATCAAAGATTTTGGGTCCATTTTCCAGAATGGAAAAAGGTAAATACATGGATAGGGTCTTATTGGTGAATCCAGGTGTGCATTTGTGAGCATACCTTTGAGTCAAGAACAACCATTAGTGTATGTTTTGAAAGTTTAGTTGCATATCTGTATAAAACAGAACTGTGTGGATTCCCCCGAAGAGTGATTATTCATTGTGAAAGAAGAGGGAAGAAGCTGCAGCCAAGGTCTAAATTTCTGAAGACTTAATGATATAGTTTCCTGAACATCAGATAAATTGCATGAACCTTTGAGTCCATCACCCCAGTCTTCCTGAGCTGTCTCTGTTCTCTTCCAGATGCTTTGTTCTGCACAAGCTGCCCAATTTGAAGTTTCTGGATGCTCAGAAAGTAACCAAACAAGAACGAGAGGAAGCTTTGGTCAGAGGGGCATTCATGAAGGTGGTGAAGCCCAAGGTAAGCCCTCTACCCTCTTGTTCTTTGTGAGGATTTATGCCTCACCTGTTGGGTACTCTTCAAGGCTGGAGGAAGTCCTCCTGTGTGTTCAGAATGCACCAGGATTTCATCCATGGATACACCGTTGGCCAAACAAGAAGTAGAATTTGGTATAAGCTGGGTCTTCCTGGGACTCTTGGGGGGCATTGTTGGTACTATAAAGTGATTGGTAAGGTGATTTCAGACAGATGGCTCTTGTACCAATAAAGCAGCATCATACACATCCCGTGGTGATGTTCCCAGCATCAAGGAGAATTTCGAAGCAAGGAGGATTTCAGGCCTCCTTGAAAGTGTTTCATTTACAAGGTGAGACCTCTGCAGACTCTGGAGCTGAGGAAGGAGAAACAGGAGAGCATCGGGCATTACTGTTTCTCAGGTAGGTAGGGATCCTCTAGTGCCTCAGCGGGGCTCTTCTTTCTCAGGGCCAAAGGGTGGCTGGGGAGAGTGCTTGTCTCTTGTCCACAGGTGAGGGCTCAATAGCACTTGGAAATACTGTTAGCACGGAAGGCAATTTTTCTGACAATGTGGTCTGAGACTGATGTGTGCATCCTTCATCTGGCTCTCCAGAGCTCAGGCGAATGCTGTTTACTGACCTTTGTTTCACCAACTGAGTCTGCTTCGAGGCCAGGGGATTGAACGTGGTGTCATGTTAATGACAGCACTGATGAGGCAAGGGAGATTTGGCTTGGGGTCTTGGATTCATACACAAAATTATTAAGGACATGGGCTTGGGAGGAGCTAGGATCCTTCAGTGAAGCCTGAGGCTAGGGAATGGACTTCATGACTCCTTTGGAGGTCCATCATGTCCTGGAGCTCTGTGGAGCTGCAGTCACTTCCTGTGGGATCCTCGTTTGTGTGTTGAAATCTTTGGCCCAGAGATCCTTGAGGTCTCATTTGTCCTCACTGATGGACTTGGAGTGCTCTGCACGTGCATTGGAAATGATTAAGAGGGAAAGAGGAAAAAACAAACAGAACCAAAACAGAAAAATGAAACCTCTTCCATCAAGTCGCTCAGCTGGCAGCAGACCTCAGGCCACTTTCTTTCCCTGAATCCATGAGGTGCAACTTATTTCCCGTTATGCTGAATAAAATTGCTAACAGTTGTGGAAATATATGATATGGAGAGTAGAATACTGGCAGATAAATGTATTGTTACCTGTTTCAGCATGTGGGAAATTAATTGAGTGATTCGTTTCATAGCTATTAAAGTGTTAACGGTTTTCCTTATGGAGACACTGATTTGATGTATTGCTCATGACTGCCTTTAGTTATTCCAGCTTTTGTGATTTTTTTCAAATGAAATAATTTATTTCTTGGCCTCCTTTTTTTTTGGTTAAAAGATTCTAGAGACAGCCAGTATCACCAAACCAAAATACAACAAATGGAGTGTTTATAATATCTTGGATTCCCACACATCTTGCATTTCTCGCCGTTGTGTATGCATGCATTTTATGGAATAGATACTGTTTTTCCTGTTTTCATTGTCTTTGACATGGAAGCTCTCTACTGTCACTGGAAATCTGGGGAGGTCATAAAGATAATACCCATCATATTGGAATGGGGTATCAGTGGTGTCCACTACTGTTTTAAAGTTCTTTTGTGTCCAGGTATGTGCATCCTCACATAACCTTCGAATGTGGAAGGAAGGGAGCATTGACTTACTGCAAAGATGCAGTAACTCAGGCCTAGGGATGCTGTCTGGACTGCCCAAGTCATGAGCTCATAATTGCTAAAACCCAAACTTCACCCATGTGCCTATCTGCAGACCCCACATTCTTTCATCTCTTATTCCTGGAGCACTGAGCTCACCATTTCCTCTGTGCATCTCTCTGTCCAAACAGATCTTCCAAGGAAGGCCTAAGTGAAGAAAACAGGCAAAAGCAGGACTGTTCTGCTGGAGTAGATATGGGGGAGAATTGAAGGCATCCACTGCCTTTGAAAGCAGGGACAGGCTCCTTAAAATCCAGCAGTGGCTGATTCTGAGTCATTAGCGCCATTGCCAGAAATGCTCTTCAGAGCTCCCAGTTAGTTTCTGATCACTTACAGAATCAGATGTTTGTGTGATTGGCTCTACTATCTTTACTAACTGTGTTAAGCTTTGAAATATCCATTAATTATCAATATTTGGAGAAAGACAAAAATACTCTGACAAAGCATCAGGACTTTTGGTGGTTATCCTTTTGTAGAGTCCCATGATTTTCAAACTGGAGAGGGGAGGGCTGCAAAACTCTCTGGTCTGTGCTTTCATCTTATGGATGCAGGAACAGGGAGAAGATGTAGTTCCCTAAGGCCCCAAAGTCCGTTGGAGGCAGAACTGGGATGAGAAGTCAGCCATCTGAGCTGCCCCATGTAGTGTTCTATTTACCCTGTGACCCTTTAAGTGTGCTGGAGGATTTCTATGTGTTGCCAGTTGCATATCTAGCTCTCGTGCCTCTCATGAATGGCAGACAATTCCCTTTTGTCTGTTTTTTGCAGAGAGATGCGCTTTTACTTTTCTTTCAGATAGAAAGGAGCCAAATGAGCTCCTTGCTGAATTAATAAATTGGTGTTAAGGCTGGTTCTCGCCTGCTCACAGTATGTACAGACATGTGTTTGTTCCTTGCAGGTGTGTATATATGCGCTCCATCTCTGTGTATATATACATATGTATGTTCTGGGAGGTATGTGTACACTCGGAGTCAGCTCCTAAGTGGAGAGCAATTTCCTCTTTGTGAATTGCCGACGCTGCGCTGAGCACGCTTGGTGAAGACCTATTTTTCATCACGGACTCAGAATCTCAAGTTGGCTTCTGTCCTTTCTGAAGCAGTGGCAGAATGTTTTGCTTATTCAGCAGAATGCTCTGATGGATGATCAAGGGGGCTGTGATTTGGGGAGCTGTTTTCATTTTATTCCTGACATAAAGTATTTGGGAGAATGGAAAATGCCTCTCCAATCACAGCCCTTGCCTTGGAGGTAGGGAATGGGCAGTCTGGGTGTTCTCAGCTGATGCAAATGCAGACTCATCCAGCAACTCATAAACCCCCTAAGTCACAAAGGCTTGATACGGTACCTGGCAGGCCCAGCGCTTGAAGTGCGAGTCGGCTTTCAGTGTCTCACACGATGACACGTTTCTCCTTCATGGCTGCCTTCTGGCTTTTGTTGTTTAAAAGCTTCCTTCTGTCTGAGTTCTGATTGTTCTACGAAAAGATGCTGTCATTCTTTTGGAATTGATAGTTAATGTTGCAGTAGCTCTTCTAGTCTTGCTTTCTGTGTGTTGGGGTAGTGAATGGTCCTACAACAGCTAGGCTTTGCTCATTTCCTGAAATTTTAAAGAAAATATGTACTCTGAAAAATATTGGCCATTAGATCATGGCATTGTCAATGCAGAGAGTACCCAAGTTGGACATACAGGAGGTGATAGCCCCCCCAAGAACAGCTTTTATAATGACCAGACTCTGACTCACCCCACCACTGCCTGCTCCAAGAAACATAGATCAAAGCAGTGTGGAGGCCTGTCCAGGAGGGCATGCATGGTAGGCATGCCAGCCCTATGCATCAGAGAGACAGTGCAAGAATCAACAGTCAGAATTGCTTAATTATTTCCTGGCATTGTAATTATTCATCCGTGTTCTGGCAAAGAGCACAGTTGTCAATTTTTTTGACATAACTATTTAAAACTGAGCCTTCTTGTTTGCATGGACATATAAGAAGTTGGCTACCAATGGTTTACTCTTCTGAATCTTTATAGAAGCAATAGCAACTACCAGGGCAGTTGTGCTGAGAACCTCAGCCTCTGTTAGAAAGTGTTTTTACATGTGTGTTTTTGCTTGTAGTCATGGCCAGTCTCTTATAGGCAAGATAGGGTCATAGGTTTATTTGTGAGTTTTGGTGTGTCCTTGAAAATATGGCATCCATGTCTTTATGTAGGTTTCCTATGGTGTATAGCTTATGTATTTGTGTACTTTTGCATAGATGTGTTTATTGGTGTGTGTGTGTGGGGGGGTACTTTTCTTGGGGTTGGGGGGATGTTGTAAGAATATGTGTGTGTATGTGTGTGTGAGGGAGAGAGAGAGAAAGGGGAAGAGATGAAAGGGGGGAGAGGGAGATGTGTAAAGGAATAAATGTGTAGCTTTGGAAATCTTTTCTATTCTTGTCTTCAAACTGAAATTTGAAAGCTCTTTGGGTCCAAGGACCACCTCCTTTCCTGATTATAGATAGTACACAGCCCTGCTCTTGACACGGAGTTGGGCCCAAACTTTCTTGGGTGACTTTAGCTTCTTCCAACTGTGTCTGGTTTTGAATTTCCATGAAGAAAAGAAGCATATTAGGAGTAGAAGCATCTGGAAGCCCACTCTTTGTTGGGACGAGGCAGCTGCTCACCTCCTGGGGTGTCAGGTCTATGAGGACAGGGATTTGACTTTCTTTGGTTCTGTGTCGGGGCCTGGTGTATTGCAGAGGCTCAACCAATACCATCAAAACAATAAACTGTGAACAGAGCATGTTGGAAAATCCATCATGGAAAGTGGTTCATTTTTTTATTGCCTCAATATGGTCCTCTGCAAAAGCAGGAAAAGGACACTTACCTCAAGAAAATATAATAACTTAAATCCGTATGTTGGCAAAAAAGAGGGATTCTGGTTTGCATATCTATTTTTCCAAAGGATTTTACCCTGGGACTATTTTTGATGGCAGAATCTATGGCCACTGTGATCCCCGGGATCATCTCTTCTCCATGGAGCTTCACTCCTAGGATGGGGACAGAGGTGCAATCTGAGCTCTCTGTCACTGCTTACGTGTTCTGAGTCCTTGTCTTAGAACCCACCTGCTCATGTTAGAGCTTTCAGGGGAAAAAAGGTAGTTTTTTCCAGAAAACATGTTGGGGTACTCAAGTCTATGAGCTATTAAAGTGAGATTTTTCTCAGTCTTGATGCTCTTGTGCTTTTTGTCTGTGCTCCTTTTTAAAGGAGCACTGCCTCATGGCG